CTATGGCAACCCAAAGCAAAGGTCCTAGGAGTAATACCCAAAAGCTGTATAAATAAAGAGGCAAAAGTAATTGACTTCATACTAAAGTTAATAGCAGGAGTAGTGAAGCAACAAGAGAATAATATTAGAGAATAGAGCTTTGCAGAAATTAAGCCAATAAGAAACTATGAAGTAGAAATTATAGAAGCACAAAGGTTTGGAGAAGAGGTAGAAGAGCTACTGAAAAAAGAAGTACAGGAATTGGCTTTTAGAAGAGATAGGGATATAGTTTTCTATACAGATAGTTCGCTAAGAAAAGGAGTAGACAAAGAAATTATGGGAATAGGATGAGTAGGAATAGATAGTATTGATAATAGAGTAGTTAGTATAGAAAACTTTAAAGTTGTTAATTGGCCAATGTCAACTAAAGCTGAACTCATAGGGATTTGGATAGTACTTCTAATATCGCAATACAATATGACAGTTAGAGTCTTTACAGATAGTGAGCAGGCAATAGAGCAGATATCTAAGATATATGATATCAAGCAGTATAACAAATGGATTAGGTCAGATAATAGAATAATCCTTAAGAAAGTCACAGGACTGCTAAAGCAAAAAGGTATTAACTTGGAACTATAAAAAGTTAAAAGTCATTATATTTATTATTATACTCCTCATTATATTCATCGTTATACTTCTCATTATCTAATATTTGATTATATTTACTATCTGATTCTATACTGATACAGCTTTGATTTTTGTCATCCTGACTAGTATTTAATAATATTATTGGAATAGCAGATGATGTTGATGCAACTGCTATGACTAGATGTTGCTATTAAACTGAAATATATACTAAATTAGGCTAGGTTTTTTTTTGTTTTGATAAATGTCTTGCATGAGTTAATCTACTAACTAATTTGCTTTGACTATTTGACTCTTGTAGATACTAGACACATGTACAAAGAACTACTTCTTTTTTATCTATCTTATATTATTAGAAATAATTCGCTATATTTGAAAGAAAATACAAAAAAAATTTACTTTTATATTACTTTTGATTATAAAGATATAAATAGCAAATAAGTTAAATAACAAGATGAAACCTATGTGGCTAGCTAGTAAAATCTGCACTGATTAGCTATATTAGGTGAAATCTGAGATTTCAGATTTCACTTAATACAGCTAATCAATATGAATTTTACTAGCTAGCTGCTCAGGTTGTAATAAAATTTATCTTTTAAGTTTTCTAATCACCTTTGTAAACATAAGAAAAAAAAACAAATAAGTAAAAAAATATATATATTTTTACCTTTTAACATTAGAAATGCCTTATAATAATACTTCAATTAATATTTATACACTTAACTCTAACTAGCATTGTCAATTTTTTCTTGAATTATTTAATACAGATTTATCTCTAATTAATATACTAAAATCTGAGCAACATTATTGATTATATTCTGTACTAATTGCTATTAACTCCTCTCTTACAGAACTACTTTTAGATACGTGTAGTACAATATATAGTATGATTAATAAACAAGTAAAGTTTTTTTTTTTTTTTATTCAAGTTTTATCTAATAATCAAATAATGAATAAATTTTTAGTTTCCAAAAGGGTTAGTTATGAACCCAATTACGTTCAATGAATATAAGAATTATAAAGAAGCTTAAAAAAAAGCTAAAAAGAATATGCAATAGCATGAATTTTTAAACCTGGATAGGAAGTAATATCTAAATTTCAGAGTAGGTTACATAGTTGTTATTATCATTATAGTACTTTTATTACTTTTTTTTTTTTTTTTTTTCCTTTGACAGTCATGTTATAAACTTTATTAAGTTGTTAACCGTAGCCATAGCCAAGTTACATATGATTACTAATCTACCTAATTTCCTAAGTCTGACATCATCCAGCTGCTACTAGAGTGCTCAGATGCGACCTGTTGCATTAACCTTAAGGTTAGAACAAATTGTCTGACTAGTTCAAAGAAAACTCCACCATTTCCTTTTTCCTTTCTTAATTACTTCTGATACTCCTTCATTTATCACTTCATTTATCCAAACTTTTTTCTTTTCTCTCTACTTTTTCCTTTCTAACAAAAGCTTTTTCCTTTCTTCATCTGTTTGGGTCTTTACTACCTGTTTTTTCCTTGTTGAAT